CAAGGAAAGGTAGTGGAGAATGTGATGAGACAGTAACGAGCATAATAGAAATGATAGGAAACGCACCATGCCACGCTCAAACGATTTGGCCCTTATGTTCATACAATGTCATCCTTGTCAAGTACTTTTCAAGTAGCTGTTTCTCCCGGTCGTATCAAGACCATGAATGCCGTCCTCAAGTGAAAGTATTTCCCTTAGAAGGTTGAAAGCCAGTTGATGATCTGTGTATATTAGATCGAGAATCAATAAGAGGGGAGACGAGGGTAACGTACCATCATTGCTTGCACCAGAGCGACTTGCTCACCGTAGTGCTTTCCGTCCCAACTCTCGGCCTGCAGCGTCGCATTGTACAATCCCAAGGCATCCATACCTCGAGCACGAGCTTCCTTGATAGTGTCTTGCGAATACTGCCAGCTGGATGCGTGGATGTTGTCCCTAGCGTCCTTCCGGAGGCCAGGGGCGGTGGGACCGAGCCAGAGGAAAGGGGTGTTTTGTTTGGTCGCCTTGGCCATGGACAGCCATTCGTCCATGCTCTTCTGGGCGGCCGGTAGGGAGTATGAGGTCGAAAGCGAGAGGCTCAAGATCACAGGGACGGGCTTGCTTCGGTCCGCGGCTCTTCCTGTCAGGCGACGAAAGTGGTCGCGGGCACTCTTGGAGGCCGTGGAACCATCAGTGGCGAGGAAAGCATGAGATACACCTAAAATCAACCCAGAAGTCAACATCTGTACCCTAATGAGAGCTAAGGCATAGTACAGCCACCGGGTCACTCACGGGAGGGGCACGAGTATGGGGTCCGCAAGGCGGGGCTGCCGCTTTGTGCATCAACTTCATCACTCGAGGTGATCCGCAGGGGTAGACAGGCTGCTTGGGTGAATTGAGACTCGCATCGACATCTCTGGCTCAGGTCCTTGTCCATTTCCCAGTCTTTAAGAGAGCCGGTCGCGAGATTCTCCCTCAGAAGGATGTTGAACCCCGCATAGGCGTCGGCTAGGGCATCATCCCCAACAAAAACTATCCCATCGAATCTCTGCAGGATCTCACACACTTCAGAGCTGGAGTACCAACGATAAGCACAATCTGGACGGCGAGTCAGCCGGATGGTCACGAAAGGTTGGTAACTGTCTGAGCGGATTTCTCGGCAAGGTGCCCGACAGCGGGGCCACAGTTAATCTTGTCACTTGCCTTGGGACGTGTACGCAGCATTAAACCCGTGACGACCGCCATTGCTCATGGCACTTAGCAGTTCAGTTCGGGTTGAGCAGTACGCTGGATTGGATGCTCGCCTATCGCCGGTTGACGGGGTGTTGTACAGGGACAAAGAAGAGATGCCGCACTCACGTCGGCCCACATAATGAGCCAGTAAACTATGTATCAAAGCGGGCTGAATAAGTAACTCTGGCCATTGACTGACTCGCCGGGGACAAAGGATCAGGGACGGCAGGGCCCGAACTTACTCGGCTTGAGATTCATGGCGAATGGGGCCCCTCTGCGAAGGGGTGAAAGGCAAATAGAAGATGTCTCGGATGAGCCAGACAATATAGAAAACGCCCAACACCCACAGACAAGCCATCAGTTTGTATGTGGAGGATCGCCAGGTGACTCTACGAATCAACCTTCGTCCGTTGGGTCCCTCGATCGGACCCCGTCGTGGTGGAGCATTGTTCTGTTGCGTTCCAGAGAATGGATAGGCAAACGCCTCGTTCATCGCGGATGATAAGCCCATTGGTTCGCTATGGGAAGCACGGCGACGAGACATATTGGGGAGGGAGAAACAGGGTTTTTCTTTACATGCACTTGCAGCTGGGGGGAGGATGGTAGTACAAGAAGAGGAGGGTTTAGGGAAGATGCATCTGCTGGGAAGGACAACAACTTTCTGGGGGGTTCCGTTTGCTTTAGGGTAACGAAAGTCTGCGTGGCAAGACAGAGACCGAACAGACTCAGCAGAGCAAAGAGGCCCGCAGTAGAAGGAGATGAGCCCCGCCAAACAGCCCGAGGGGTATCCGGAAGGAGGGGTGAGGTTGATAGTAAAAGTACTGGAGACGAATCCAGGCGCGGCACAGAATGACGGCGATGCTGATGAGACCTGAGACCAGAGAGGGGCACAAAACGGCCAGGACGTCAGGCGCCTGTCCTTTCCTCGTCCTCTTGATTGTGGCTTTTTGTTTCCGTAACTCTCACTGTCACTTTGACTCTTTTTCTCCTGGCTTGGTGTTCTCTGCCTCTGTTCTGTCTCGCTTCCTGGCTTTTGGGTATTTCTGGCCCTCGAGGGCTGCCTGTTAGATAGTCGTCGCACTCGACTGCCCCACGTGCAATTTCCTTGCCCTCTACACTCGCAGAGTTGCTTTTCCTTCCCTTTGGGGGTCTGTCCAGTGTTCACTTTGCCCCTGCGAATTAACCAATACGAAGCCTCCAAGGTCTTAGCCACAGGCACGCACAGTGGATGAACCGGGCAGAAATCGGCTTAAAAAGGAAAGATAGTAGTAATCATGGGAGGGGCTAATAGACTGGATCCGAGCCAGTTATGGGCTGAATTGCGGCATCAATGGTAGCATGGACGCGGAAAAGGCAATGCTGGAGAAGTTGCGGATCCTCCCTATCGGGTCTTTGCTGATGATCAGTGAGTGCACGACCCAATTTCAAAATAGAGGTACAACATTAACAATCAGAATTGAAAGACAACTAGGAAATCAAGACAACTTTTTGAAAGGGTGATGGTGGGTTGAAAGAGAGATGGCCCAAGCGAATTCTAGAGATTAAAGTAGAGGAACAATAGAAAATAAAAAAGATAAAAATAAAAAAAAATTATTAGAGAAAAAAATACCAACGGAAAAAAAAGAGGGTTCGATGTCGTGCGGCGCACTTTTGCATCATAGCCACCCCATTTTTTTTTCAAGTCTAAAAAGACAAGACGCCCACAAGGCCGTCAAAATATGAAATGAACAACTAAAGTGGAAAATGAAAGGGAAAACTGTCTAGGAAAAGATCCTCTGCAAGTCAACGAACTGGTCGATGGGTCTCTCGATCCGTCCGCGTCCACAAAACGGGCTAACTTATAATAACGGTAAATAATAATAAATCCAATCCACCCACACACAAATAAACGGGCACCTCGGAGCAAGAAATTGATCCGGCATATCAAATGGAGCCTCTCACTTACCTTGTATAAACAGTACAATCAGTCAGATGTGCGAAGTACTCGGGGGAGTAAGCAGATCTGTGAAAGCAGGAGTGCTTTGGACAGTCGCGAGACGTTTTGTGACGAGGTCGAATGTCGAGGCCAAGTAGAGATTAAGAAGTTAGGGAGAGGGTTGCTTTTGGTGCTCCTTTTTTTTTGTTCGAGGGACCGAACAGTCAGTCCACCGCACGGTGCGGTGACAGCCACTTAAATGATCTGGCGGAATACTCTCAACGGACAATTGGTACTCTGGTTGGTGGGCCAGACAGGTGTCAAAAAGTTAACGAGACTCCACTATCAACAAAAGTTTCGAAGGGACGAAAGAGGAAGATTCACGGTCTCTCTCGACCTTCAGCTGGAGTTATATGATGTCGTTCAGGGAGTGACAAGGTCTAGAGTCGTTCCTTGTCAGACCCATGCTAAGGGGCGGTGGGCGAGGATTAAGAGCTCGCAGGGTTCCCTTTCGTGGCCCTGCTCGGTTCCAGGGACTTTTGTTCGACGGATCTAAGGCATCACTGCCAGCGTCGTTGAGCATGACGACGATATGATGAACAAGACCCAGCCTGAATTGAGCATGAGAGGTATGGTTGGGCATCGCTTCAATCCTTCTTCTTTTCTTTTTTTCTCCAGCCCTATGCGACTGACGATGATGTCGTGGTATACCTACAGTACCTCAATGCTGGTCCTATCATCATTATTAAGACCAAGGCTAAGTGTGATTGGGCCCTGTGGGTGTCCTGAGCACTGACTTAAGTAGAGAGGGAAAGCTGTTCACGGTGATCACCGTTGCCGCGGTCGTTGTTTAAATAAATCTTTCGCTTGTTTCTCATTGCTTTTTTCCCGTTTCATCTCAATCCTCCGAAGGAAGGACAAAATTGTCTGTCCTCGCGTGACGATATCGGTGAGACCTTATCGCGCTGGTCACCAACCATAGCGAAATCAATGCAGAATATACAGGCCATTGGCATTTCTTGTCAGCAGCGATTTACAGTCGTGGAGGATACGCGAGACTACGGTCAAGCAACCGTCGGTTCCCTGGGCTTTCCTTTGGGGGGTTCCAGATCGAGCGGGATGCTTCAGACCACGGCAAATGTTCGACCGGGATTCTAGATGGTTGCTATTTGTATCGGGAGCATGTGAGTCACTGAGCGGTGAGTTGGGAGGCGACAAGGGGGTAAATGTGAAACCGGCCGGTAGTGGTGACATTTTCGTACTGAGAATCCGGGGAGACACGAGATGTACACAAGCTTGTCTTGAACCTTAAAGAACCGCGGGTAGCAAGCACGACAACCCCGGACGCAAGAAACCTAATCAGGTACAGTACCTCGACGGAGTGTGACGGAGGAGAACCAGTGACCAGGGACGCGGATGGGGATGAAGACTCGCAGGCGGCAGAGACACCAGACATCTATTCGGGTGGACAGTCCTTAAAGTGCGCAAAGTGCACACAATTCTTACCCCGAGAGTCAGACGGCGGACCAGTCGGAGTATCTGCGTCGTGCCGCGTCGAACCATCCTCGGGCGAAGGGGAGATCCGGGACGTTGTAACGTGCAGCTCATTTGCACCGGTAATTCCTCCGTGGTCAGTGGCAGGTCTTGGCGCTGGGTGGTTATGGTGTGGTGAGGACAGCAAAGTCAATAGATAGAAGCAAACTTTGTCGCTGGAAATGTCAGACATGGTCTGATCATGAGCAGCTTGCCTGAATGAGCAGTAGTCAGTGCCCAGGAACAAGTCGAGTGTAAGTAAAGTGTAGAGTGTAAGTTAAACTCACTGAGTACAGAGTACGGAGCACGGAGTACTCCAATACTTGCTGTACGGATCGGCTGATTATTGCCTGCGAGTGGCTGACTAAGTATCGAATACAACTTACTTCCTCGGCCCATCACGGGATCGGATGCGGTCTTTTCCCCCCACCATGGCACGTGACCGTCTTCCCCCGGGAATCGCTGAGAGTCTCCGCAACAACTTTCCCCGAAGGAGTCATTCACTGCTGCTGCTGCTGGTTGTCCAGCCCAGTCCGCGTCCAGAGCTTACTTAGTACTTACTTCCCTCTGCCCGCATCTTTCCTTTCCCTCCCTCGCTCTCTCTCTCTCTCTCTTTTCCCCTCCCCTCCCATCTTTCTTCTTCTCTTCTTTCCTTCTTTCCTTCTTCCCCCTTTCCCCATACTACTCGTGTGCTCACCTTCTCGAAAAAGTTTCATAATTTTCCATTGGGCTCTTGTGTCTATCAATTCAAGTCACTTTCTCACACTGAGATCCCACTCCGGGGCTTCTTACCGCCCGCCGTTCCGGAGCTCGCCTGCGAGACGGAGGGGACTCCCCCAACCTCGGTAGTTCCTCCTTACAGCCCTCTGCATTCGTCCCAACTCTGATTTTACTGACATCCATTTCTCCTGCCTAGCCTTTGATTTGCGAGAGTTTTGTTTCTCATCACATTGGTTTTGACCAGCGCAAATCCAGGCCGTCCGGCCTGATACCCTCAACATCATGTGGAAGCCGTCGGAGAGACTGATGGACACCATCAGACACTATGCCAGCTTCCCAGCGACCGGCGTCTCTCTCCGACAAATGGTTCAATTTGGAGATAGACCATCAGTCGGTATGTGTTGAGGTGCTTGCGCACTTTGAGATTCTGTTTCATCCCATATGACGCTGGGGAGATGACCGACATCGGCTAATCTCGTGATCGCTACCCGCATACAGGCACTTTGTTCCGAGCGTCACAATTCCTCTCAGAAGAACTGCCCATTCGCCTCGCCCACCGTGTCCAGGATCTTGGAGAACTTCCCGATGGACTTAGTGAAATGCCCTCAATCAAAAAAGTTCAAGACTGGTACGCACAATCGTTCGAGGTATGACTCACCCACCGCCCGGCCGGGGTTATGTCCGCCGGAGTTGTCGCTGACGTCCCCGGCAGGAAATCATTACGCTGCCGCGACCCACCCTCACCCAGGAAGTTAAGGCCCGCCTGCTGCGCCCGGGAAAGCTTAACGGCGGGACCTCGAGGATCCTCTCGGAAGTCACGCAGAACCCCAGCATTCGCGAAGGACAGTATCGATCCTCCCCGTCCTCCACGTCAAACGGCAATGGAAATGGCAAGGCTGCGGCTGCTCGAAGATACTATGCACCATCCGATGATCAAGGAAATTGGCCACCGGAGCTGAACGACTACAACGAGCGATTTGCACAGACACTCAAGGAAATCAAGCGAAGACACGACAGCGTCGTGACCACCGTGGCCCAGGGTATTCTCGAATGGAAACGAAAGCGCCAGCGCCTGCAAATCGACTCGACCGTGCAATCCTTCCTCGATCGGTTTTACATGTCAAGGATCGGCATACGAATGTTGATTGGACAGCATATCGCATTGACTGAACAGACTCACGTAAAACATCCGCACTACGTCGGAATAATCTGTACCAAGACAAATGTGCGGGAGATAGCCCTCGAGGCGATCGAAAACGCCCGTTTCGTCTGCCAGGATTACTACGGATTGTTCGACGCCCCCAAGGTGCAGCTTGTGTGCAAAGAGGACCTGAACTTCATGTATGTGCCAGGACATCTGTCGCATATGCTCTTTGAGACTCTGAAGAACTCCTTGCGCGCGGTGGTGGAGGCCAATGGTGTGGACAAGGACACCTTCCCCGTCACCAAGGTCATCATTGCGGAAGGAAAGGAAGATATCACAATCAAGATTTCCGACGAAGGTGGTGGCATCCCTCGTTCTGCCATTCCCCTGGTCTGGACGTATATGTACACGACCGTCGAGCAAACCCCAAGTCTGGACCCAGATTTCGACAAGAGCGACTTCAAGGCTCCCATGGCCGGGTTCGGCTACGGTCTTCCGATCAGTCGTTTGTATGCTCGGTACTTTGGTGGCGATCTGAAGTTGATCAGCATGGAGGGGTGAGTAGCGAGCCTTTGTGGCAGGAAATTCAAGAAGCACGATGACTAACAGCTCTCACAGATACGGGACGGACGTCTACCTCCACCTGAACCGACTCTCCTCGAGCTCGGAACCCCTGCAATGACAATTACCAGTCATGAGGGATGGTCGTGTCCGGTTCTCTACTTCCCACAGACTGCATCCTTTCTACTCGGAACCGGATCCATCACCATCACCATCCCAAGGATTGACGCCTATGAATATCGAACGTGCCCGTGCGCGGATGCGCACGCGGGAAGTCTCCGAGCGAAAGCAAGTAGGCGATGCTGCGAGTCTGCTGAACGCTGAAAAGCGCAGATAAGCGACTTCTTGTTCCTACTGACGATGGATCCTTTTATTAAGCCGTGTGCGCTGTGCGGGAACCAGACACCATGATTTTGGACTGACGATCTGCTACTAAGCAGACCGTTGGCATTCCTCCAATTGGAAATGCCATACACAGCCAAAAGAATGATTGAGACGAGAAACCAAAAAGGAAAAAAAAATTGCAATTGAGATGTTGAGACATCTTTATGTCAACCCCCATTGAGATGAAGGGTTGAACTTATCACGCCGTCAAGGGAAAAAAGAACGGTTTTGATCTACTTAGATACCCCCCCTTGCCATGTTTGGAAACTAGCCGGATTGTGGGTATACTTTAGATGGTGTCCACCACACCACCACCATCCTTTTTCTGTCTTGTTTAGCTCTGGGCTCGATTCTGATTCTGTTTTTGTGTTCACATCGCGTGTATAGTACTTTTTATGGACTGATGGAAATTATGGGGTACGGTTTTTTTGTTTTCACGGCCAGCCAATGTATATGAGGCACTTTTTTTTTTTTTTAACTTTGTTGTCCTTCGGGGCGAATCGGATAAGGAGATCTTTCGACATGCGTCTTTTTCTTTAGACTTGTCTTGAGCTTTCAGGCTCTGTGACCCTGTAAGAGAACTGGTGTTTATGGTATGGTATCCAATGCCCTCGTATAGCTGACTACTGGTGTTCAGTTTGAAGTAGCAGGAGAGAATCCCCAAGGAGTGACGACCTAGTACTTGCAGTTACGTAAGAGAAGCTCCAAAAATCGAGGCCGCCGCACCAGCACCACCCACCAAGCCCCTCCGCGCGCGCCCTCTCTCCCGCTCCCTCTCCCGCTGCGACCGCCCCTTGATGCCCCTCCGCTGCCTGTCGGGCGTCGACCCCGCCGTTGCCGCCACACTACTACTATTACTCGTCGTCCCCGCCTTCGTCCTCCCGGCGGGTGACGATACCGAGGACCCTGCCGCCGCCGGAGACCCCCGATTCGTGCCACTCCCACCACCTCCACCACCAGCCCCGAAGCGCTCCGCTCCGCCCCCCGGCGGCGGCCGCCTCCACCCCGCCTCATCCGTCTCATACACCTCCTCGACCTGCCGCGGAACAATCAACCCCGTCGTCGTGATGGGCCCGCCGATCCCGACCCCGATCCGCAACCGCCTATCATCTTCATCGTAGTCTCCGCCCGACGGAGTAGCGGGCGATGCGCCAGCCGCCGCCGCCGCCGCCGGCGACGCGGTCCCGGATCTCGATGCTCCTCCCCCGGACACGGACCCCAACCGCATCGGATGCTGGATGACGAAGCGGTCGCCCTGGAGGCTGGCGGCGGTGTCGGGGTCCTCGGGGCTGAGGAGTTTGGCGAGGAAGCGGCGGCGGGTTTGGGGGATGGACTTTTTGGAGGGGGGGGTCGAGGTCAGCAAAGAGGAGTTTGTTTGGGGAGGGGTATTTGGGGATTTTGGGGGGGGAAGGGCATACCTCTTGGGCGGCGAGGGCCTGCACGGTGAGGAGTTCGCGGTCCAGGAGGACGCAGAGGGCGGCGTGGCGTTCTTCGCGGATGCGGCTGCGGAGCCTTTTGTCTTGTTCGAGGGAGGTTTGGTAGTGTGTGTTTGTGGTTGTGGGTCTGTTTGCGTTGGGGTTCATGGTGGTGGTGGTGGTGGTTTCTGTGGCTGTGGTCGCGTCGCCGAGTGTGGTGCCGTTTGTGGTGGGGAACTGGTGCAGGGGGTTGATTGTTGGTCCTGTTTGATAGTCAGTGTCTATGTCGGGGTGGAAGGAAGAAGGGGGCCGTACGGTTCTGCGTCCGTTGCAGCTGGGATAACTGCTGCTGCGCTAATACATGCGCCGGCAGGCGGTGCGTACTGCTGACCATGGAGTCGGAGGTGGAGGTGGAGGTGTCGGAGTTGTACGGCTGATCATCCCGCTCCTCGTCGTCGAGGATGATGGGGTCGTCGTGATCGTGGCCGTGGCTGTGGCCGTGGCCTGAAGGCACGCCGTGGATGCTAGGGTGGAACATGTTGCTCCCAACGCGTTCCTTCGGAGAAAGCTTGATGAGAATGAGGTCACAATATGGGGAATTGTGTATCGCTGCGAGTCTTGCGATGGAATGCGCTTCTCAGGCGCCAGGGTCGTTCACTATCGAGTGGCCGGTTTGCGTAGTTGGGTGGGACGTTTGAAGTCGGCTTTGGGGCAAATAGAGATTATACAAGAGAGAGCGCGCGAGGAGCCAGCAGATACTAATTGCGGGCGTCGGATATGCGATATAAGGTGGGGTAGCGATAGAGCGAGGCGGCAGATGTCTAGGTTCGAACCTGACCAGCAGGATGATCGGTTGGGATGGACGAGTCGGAGTCGGGAGGGCGGGCAGTGGTTTGAATGTGGGGGGCGGCGGAGATGATGCGGTGGTGGTGGTCGACGACTCTGTTGTGCTTGTTTGCACTGCGGCGGTACTGTTGTACTGTGCAAATTCAACGTCATCGACCGACCGCCTTCTAGGCTCGGCTTGTTTACCGAACAACTATAAGTTACCCGACTAAGCAGTCGTCTTCTACCCTTCTTTGTGTTTGTGTTGTATGAGGCTATCAGATAGGGAGAGCTGTGGTCCGCTCTGCAAAGGGCTTTCTTGCAAGAAAGTCCGCAGAGCTGCCTGGAAAAGCCTGGAAGGACGGGGATTCAATCCTGCGAGCTGGGCTGCTTCATCTCTTCTCTGCAGCGCTGCTAAGCATATGACACATTAGCGAACTCCGATGTTCGAAACTGCTTGATGGATTCAGAACTCCACGTGCAAAGGATAAGTTCCATCCCGATCAACTCTCGCAGGCACAGTAACCATATTCGGTAGTTCCTCATTAGTGGTAGTCTGATTCGTACTATGCTATGGTCTAACAAAAGGTATTTTTTCCTTGCCGCTCTCCACCCCTAAGCTCTCAACGTCTCGTTGAGTCTCTCCTCTCCACCTCGAAAGAAAATGAGACCCCTCATAATGAGAACCATATCCACACCCTCACACAAACCAAGATAAAGAGGACAATAAATCAATCTGCAGAAGTATGCCAGCATGCGGGATTGATTAGATGACAGAATTGTTCGAAGAAAAAAATCAACTGCGATGGGGTGAAGTAGAAAGGAGAAAGTACATCGGAAATATCTCTAAGAAGAAAGATGCGAATATGAAAGTGAAAACCGCCCCTCCAAGACCTATACCACACACACACGCGCGCGTGCGCGTCTCTCCTCTAAACGCCAGGAAAACAACAATGCCGCTAAACAGAAATGACTCATGACACCCTCAACGAAGTGCCGCTGATATCTGGACCTTTGCGTCCGCGTGGCCAAAAAAAAAAAAACAAAGGCCCAGGTCGACAAGGCGGGCTTGGTGAGAAATGATAAGTGATCGTATTACTCGAAAGTTCGTGGCGAGTTTAACGTCGAAACCGTCTAACATCCATGCATCAAGGTATTTTTGGGCCATTCATAACCGGCGCCGTCCCTGTGAGATGTGAGCATACATGAACAAGAAAAAAAGGTGGGGATTCATACCAAGTGGTTTTGTTTACATTGCGGTAAGCTTCCGGGTGTCTGGCAATGTAGTCTGTGGTCTCGTAGCCGGGAGGATCACAGGTGACGCTGGTGTGCTCGGGGTCCTGGTAAATCCGAATATAGTCGAATCGCAAGTAGCCGGGCAAGTAGCTCTTGATGCTCTCGTCGATTGGGGCAAAGTTCCAGGCCATGCCCAAGTTCATGACGATCGACAACGGCTCCACGGGGACCAGTCTTTGCCCGACGTTGCCATTGGGTCCAATGGCGCGACCGTCCAGAGTCCATGTCTTGTCCTGCCCAACAAACCAGGTGATGTCGCCTGTAGCACCAGGGGTGTATTCAAAGGCGTAGACCTGGTATTCGGAGCCATTGTACCAGTCGTTGTTGAGGTTGGTGAGGCCCGACATAGCCTGCTGATACGGGCCTCCGCGGTAAGAGTTGATCTGCGTGATCGTTGGATCATAGACAGCGGTGAAATCTGCGACAGGGTCAGAGAGATATGCGGAAGGTCACGGAGCGAACTCACCATAATCAGGCATATACCAAATATCGAACGGCGCCATCTGCAGACTCTGAGACACGGAGCCGATATATGCATTTTGATCACCATTCAAGGCAATGACATTGGCTTCGAGCACGTCAATCTCAGGTGCGCCACGCGATTTCCCTGGGGAAGGATGATCCGCGCCAGCGCACGTGCATGCGGGGAGACGCATCCCCGGCAGGAAGTTGATACCGTCCGGCGAGCTTTGGTTAGGGGTGATGCCGGCGTCGCATTCGTCGTGGTAGCTGTACGGCCACATGCCTTCAGTTGTGGCAGCATAACCAGGTCGACCTAGGTTCCCCATGGCCCAAAAGCCGGGCCAGAAACCGGATACATCACCGGAGCCGGGAAGTGAGATACTCGCCTCTAAACGACCACCGGAGAAGCACAACTTGTTCCAGCTTTGCATCATGCCAGACCGATATGAGACGTTGTGGTTAGCGAAGGCATCAAACCGAATCTCAAGGTTTCCATCTCTCGTCGTGACTGCATCCGGGTCATACCACTATGCGCGAAGTCAGTTACCACGATGAGGTTCCACAGCCGACAAACAAGCCCGTACCTCCAAGTCCTGCGTGACACCATACCACAGGTCAACTGCTTGAAAGTAGGCATCATCGTCGTCGTAGAATGTTCGGCCCGGAGTGTTGAATTCATCCGAAAACTGCATTGCGAAAAATCAGCCACAATTCCAAAGACCAAGCCCGCGGTATGCTGGCTGATTCCGCCCCCTTTTGGGACAAGCAACCGCATCCTTACCACTAACTGCCATTCCTTGCCATCCGCCGTGGTCTTGCTCATGGCTGACTTTGGGGTTTCCGGGTCTATCAAGCCGGTCCGAATATTGGCCAGCATCGGCTGCTGGCCGACCTCGAGACACAGGGGATCAGTTTCATGACATGATGGTCTGGACGGTTTTCTGAAGCTCTCTACCGCCGACCTGGAAAGAAGAAAAGATAATCAGCATTCATTTTCCGTACAGAACAAAAATTCCCCAGATCAAACTAGATTGCATCCATACATGACAGGGTAGCCGATAAACAACACCAAGAAGCCTATAGTGATCAGGATCAACCCCCCAACATTTGCAATCCCGCGCCTGTTCCATATGTCGCACTCTTGATCGTCGTTCGGGTTGGGTTCGTGCAGGTAGTCATCCTTTTCGACATCCTCGGGGAACAACAGCAGTCCCTCCATGGGCATGATGTTGTACTTCTCCGACACCGTCTGCGTGTTCACATCCACCTCATCGCTTCCGGCGCGTGACGGGGACCGTAGATCTTCGAAGGGGGTATACACATACCCGCGGGTGTCCGCGCTGGCACCCTCGGAGCTCCAACTCGTGCGCCGCGACGACCGCGTCGACAGCTCCGTCGACCGCATGCTGTCCATCTCCTCCTGGTGGCCGCGGTAGGGCCGCGGCGGGATCAGGAACTCGGTCGACTCCTGCGGTGTCGGCGACCCCCACATCGTCGTTTGCAACGTGCCCTCGGAGGGAGACTGTACCATCCCCGGCGTCAGTGCCCGTCCAATGTGCGGGTGTGGCACCGATGCATAGGGATCATCGGAGTCGCCGAACGGGTCTTGACGTCCTGAATTGAGTCGGATGTGAGGAGTTCCGCGTCCCGTGGAGTGAAAGGACATAATGGTGTGATATGGCGTTCTGTTCCAATCCCAGCAACCCTTCCTTGCTGTTCTCAGTTGCTGTTGATTCACTGTCTCCCGCAAGCACAAGATTTGACACCGATCTGTTAATCCACCGTCAGGCCTGTTGAATTCCAGAACTGGTCGACTTGGGGCGATTGGGATCTGCAGGCTTCTTGACTGGAGAACAGCCTGGCTTGTGTTATGGTCCCGCACTCGCAGCAGAGACTAGACCTCCATAAATCACGAAGCAACCTTCTCGACACTGTTGTCCACCGTGGTTGGGTTGATGATAGGTTACGCGGTAATGACTGTAGTCGAGGCAAGGGCGACGTAAAGAGGGACAGTTGACGCGTGGTGAATTGTAAAAGAGACTGAAACCAATCCAGACGAAACAGTGCACCCAATGTTCACAGACAAGGCCGCAGTGGCTGCGACGACATGAAGATACGCGCGCGCTGGTAAAGGATTGGCAGGCTGACCCAGGCTAGAGGTGAGTGATGTTAAAGAAGGGTTGAACGAGGGCTGTCGCGCGCAGACAGCGTGGAAAGAAAGAGAATGGAAGCGAGCGTCGGAGGGGACATGCAAAAGAATGGTACAGGGAGACCAAAACAGGCCTTTGGAGGGGGGGGGGGGGGGAGAGGGCGCGAATGGAGGTTGGTTGGAAGCAATGCGGCCCGTCGCCCAAAGGGGGGTGTGGTGTGGGAACAGCGCGATGAGTAAAGACTGCAATGGAGTCAAAAGAGGAAGAAGAGAAAGAGAGAAAGATGAGGACAAGAACATGGATACAGAGAGATCAAGGCCATTTCCCAAATTATTTCCATGCAATAATAGCAACTGTTACATAGATGGTCAACTAATATTACGGGACCCTGGCACTGCAGGTACAGTACATAGTCATACAGACAGACACTGCACATTGACTTGACTGCCCGAGGGGAGAGTTTGATCCAAACACAGAACATGATGGAAGTGCAGGCAGGCATCCGCTGATCAAGGGACAGCAACTGTCTTGGCCGAAGAATGCTTCAATCCTGAACCCTGTGCACCCATTGGGTTCCTGCAGTGTGGAGCCTATCGGCCAAATGGTAGGTTGTTTGCGACGCAAGAGTCAAAAAGTAACTATGTGGGCAGTGGCGCCTGCATGAGAGTCGAGCATCGAAGAGTTATACTTGGATCTGATCGACTCTGCTGCCAGGAACCATGTGATGGAGAACCACTTGTGCATGGCTAGCGTGCAGCCTCATTGCCCTAGTTTGACAAGCAGCAGCAGTAGCTAGCAGTAACAGCATGGATTGCACCTGAACGAGGTGATTCTCCTTCTTTCTCGCACCAGACCTTGAATAAACAGATAATCACCCAGCAAGTGACAGCAACAAGGAGGTGAATGTTGAGGAAGAATTTGGTTGCCGGCGAGAGTCAAGAATGACGGCCTTGGATCCATGGAATCTGGAGATTGCTTGGGGTGGGCCGAGACTAGTCTGTTTTAAGTATCGCCGGACCAGGTTGGAACTGTTGAAACTGTACAATTAGAACACTAGCGTCGATCTTTCTTACCGTATCGTATCATACCGTGCACACCCAGAAAAACAACCCCCCCCCCCCCCCCCAAGAAATTCTGGCATTCCTACTCTTCGACTGCAACAACCACATTCCATTGACCCGTTCACCATTGTTGCCTTGTCGGGGGGAATCCGTCCTGTCGTCTATACCACTATATAAATAGAGCGACTGAGTCTACCTATCTCGACGGTCTGGAACAGTATGGAGCACAGTACATCCTGACCTCAGTAATTTCCTTCGTACCATACATAAACTCAGTACTTGGTACTCTCGCCCGCATCGGCCAAGGTCCCGTCCGTAACTTTGTTGTCCCAGTCCCCTGTAGGCTGTTAACTTAGTTAGCCTCCCCTATTCTAGCAGTGATCCAGAAGGTCGAGGTACGGAGTATGGAGTAGCTAGAGAAGATCCCGCACAGACAACGGCAACCCTTCGGCGCACTGCTCGCCTGCTTCCCCCTGAGATTGAATATCGTTCCCCAAGCTATAACAAGTGGCTGGTGGATCGTGTTCCTCAACTGACAGAGTTCAAGGGCAAGAAACTGCTTGACATGCTTCATCGCCACTTCATAGGGCCATTTCCAAACAACTCTCAGCATCATGGATAGATAGAACCACCGTAATACCTACTGAGTCGCGAAGTGTAGGGCAGCAAGTTCGTCCCCAAACCAGCCTCGGCAATCCAAGGAGCTCGAACCCCAATCATGACTCAGGCATCATCAACAAACCTTAACAACCTGATCAAGATCAATAGACCGAAGCATCCTTTTCAAGAACAACAATATAGAGTTACCACCACATTGAAGATCGACTATTCCCAACAACTAGTTCCATCCTGCGATGACGACGCCCTGATGCTAAATCTAAGAGATTTGGATAGATCAGATCTCACAATGATCGATAAGTTGAAAGGCTGCCTGGATTGATGATCCAGGAAGATCGGTCAATCACCGACCGACTGAGGGCGTCCGCATCCTAGTTTGCCCTTCCTCCTGCCTCCTCCTCTTCGTCGTTCTGATAGCTACTACCCACCAAGCCAATCATTTAGCCTCAACCATGACCAGATTGAATATGAGCACACCTTCTGAGACAACTGAGGGAGGGAGTCTAGAACCCCTTTTTCTGGCTGTGTACTCGGTTATTCTACTTTGTTGAGAATGAAGTATAAGTGGTCAGTGCGGGAAGGATATAGGTACCTATGGGAAATGGCTGTACAGCACCACTGTCGACTGACTCGGTATACCTTGGACTGACATCTATGGTAAAGGACTGAGACACAGATACCGGTAGTTCTTCGGACGTTCGGAAAGTAGAATTGGAGTGAGGTAATGTTTTGTTGTATGGGCGACTCGAAATATATAATGAGGCAGATAGCTAGACGTTAATGTAGGAAAAGTGCCTATAAGATTACAAGGGACTGTTGTGTCTCTTTTACCCGGCCTGATACGTACCTGCTATGACTCTCAAATATATAAAAGGCATCCCAATGTCGCATATAGCATCAGCAACCATGATATGAAGTAGAATGTCGTATATTTGTGGCAGAGAATTTGCAGTTCTTCCCACTGATCGTGAGATAGTCACCAGAATCCAACAAACCGTCTCCAATCGACAACTTAATAAACACTTACCACGAAGCTTCCCAGCATAGGAATATATCCTCCCATACGGCCGCACCTTATCAAAATACTACAAGCCTACAGCATACTACCACCAACCCAAGAACCAATCCTCCCATTCCACCAAACGTCCCACACCCCACATCCTCATCCCCTTCAACATAGTCGAAAGAAGATCACACGATATCATTACCTCATAAACCAATATACACAACTATGAAAACAACAAAGGACCAAAAAAAAAAAAAAATCCTAAGACTCAATCGCCTTAGCCCTCAACCCCACAAGCAAGCCCCCCTCCGCATCCAACGCCAACACATAATACTCGACCCGCGCGCTGCCGACCTCCACCCGGTAGACCTTGACGTCAACGTCCGTCTCCTGCACGCCGGGCTCCCCGCCGCCGGACGCCTGGCTGGCGGCCGCGCGCACCGCGCGCAGGGCCGACGCGTACTGGTTCCTGGGGTCGAAGGACGCCGGGGAGAGGGTCTCGATGGCGGCGGCGAGGTCGTCGGATGAGGCGATGAGGTTGGAGAAGTTTGCTGTTTTTGGGGGAAGCGTTGTTAGTTTGGACTTTTCTTTTTTGATGGTTTTCTTTGCCAAGGGGGCCAACGACGTACAAGCATCAGGCCACACGCCCCGATTGGCGCCGTCCCATTTCAGCGCGACCGGCTCGAAAGGCTCGTCGGTTTCGGAGATGTAGAACGCATCCACCGAGGTCAGAGGGCCGGGGATGCTGACGCCCGTGTGCACGGTTTCGGTGCGCGCGGCACGGTCCTGGCTGCTGGTGCTGCTGCTCGTCTGCTGGTTGCTGCGGGCGGTGTCGAGATCCGCGTTGGCTTTGTTTAGGAAGGACATGTAGGCGTCGTCGGAGGACATGGTGCGGATTGTGGTGGTGGTGGTGGTGGTGGTGGCTGTTGTCGTCGTTGGGGATCGGGTGGCGATACGGGCGGGGTTTCTGGACAGTGAAACAAGGGGGTTGGTCGGAAGGTGAATGGATTGAGGTATGCACTGATGATGATAGAGAGAAGTGCGAGGCCGGGATAGTATGCTCAGTTGGTTTGGCTGTTGGTGGGGAGAAGAAGAGTGAACGGTAGCACGCGTGGGCAAGGCGGAAGAAGAAAGTGATGAAGCCCAACGGGAGATACGATCAATGACGCAATTGCCGCGGCTGCTGGGCGGCCACCGTCGTAGAGGGACGCTCATCATCTGATCGACTAGCCCCAGGAAGGAGGGAGTTTCTCGGCAGAAGATAATGAGGACTAGGTTCGAAATGGGTTTCTAGCAGGTACGGGAGTTTAGGTGGTAGCATGTCAAGATGGGGATGTCGGGGTGTCGGGCTTGTTCCTGCGGATGGCAAGCTTTTCTTTTTCACGCTCAAACCAACGGTGCACTATGCGTCAAAATATGCTTATACCCCTTTAGCCATCGTAGTGATCGATACTATATTTCTCATTTTTTACATTACAGAACACGCATGATTCCAATCATTTTGGGCATAAATTAACTTCTCATAATGTTGACGTCCGACTACGTAAACTAGACCAAAGGGGAAGGCCGGACTAACTTTCCAGTCATGGGAGCAGACTTGAAAGGTATTCGCTTTTTATTGAAAGAAAATATAATTCGCACTACTCCATCCCGAAATGTCCCTAAACACCCTAAGCAGAGGTAGCAAGGTCCTTCTTGAGGGTACCCAGGAAGGCGCGCTTCTCCTCGGGGGTCTGGAAAGCACCGTGTCCGAACTTGGACGAGGTGTCGATCCACTTGAGCTCGACCTTCTCGGTGGCACGACGGTTGGTCTGGGGGTAGAGGGTCTTACGGAGGGTCATGACACGCTTCTTGACACCAGGGACGGAACCCTTGAGGAGAAGGAAGTCGTTCTTGACCTCACCGTAGCGGACGAAACCACCAAGACTGCAGAAAGTGAATTAGCGAATTTGTCACCAGACACCAAATACACAGGGTAACTTACGGAGTGATCTGCTTCTTGGAGATATCGAACTCGGTGGAGGCGTTACCCTCATCGGAGCCCTTGCCAACACGGAAGACCTTGTGGTTGCAAGAGGTACGGTGGTGGTAACCCATCTGACCGGCACGGGCAACAGTCCACTGGACGTGGCTAGGGTGCCAGGCACCGATACAGGCGACCTTACGCAGACCCTTGTGAGTCTTACGGGGAAGCTTCTTGGTGCCCCAACGGCTGGTGACACCCTGGAAACCGTGACCCTTGGTGACGGCGATGACATCGATCATCTCGTCCTTCTCGAAGATGCTGTCGATCTCGATGGGCTTCTCGAACAGGTTGCGGGCGAAGTCAACCTTGTCGGCAACGGAGCCACCGTTGACCTGGATCTCCATAAGGTGGGCCTTCTTCTGCTTGAGAGGGGTCTTGCGGATCTGAGTGTGGGCGAGGACACGGACGACAGTGCAGTACTTCTTGACGCGCTCGAGCTCGCGGGTGATGGAGGCACCGCTCTCCTCGGCGTGCTTCTTGGTGTACTTGGTGAAGGCCTTCTTCTTGCTCTTGTACCAGTTCTTGTAGAAGCGACGCTTGACCTCGTCGCTCAAGTGCTCAGCCCAGACGGTGGTGAGAGAGCGGAGACCACGGGGAGTCTCGATGTAACCGACAACACCGACAGCGACAAGCTAGAGATGAGAAACATGTGAGTGGTTGCTCGAATCGGGAGAGCGGTCGCCCAAGCAGGGCCCAGAAAAATATTTTCCGCCTTGGTGGTCGGGGTCGGTTCACGTACAGGAGGAGTCTCGATAACGGTAGCAGCCTCAACAATCTCCTTCTTGTGCATCTTGGCACCGGGGCGGTCGAGGTCACGGACAA